CGGTTTTTTCCCGTTGCTAAAATGGTCATTACAACTTAAAATCCATTTTTATATATATATTTCATTTCCCCCATGGTAACAAAATGATGAGGGTTTTCATAAAATGGTCGCTAATATCGTCATTTAGCAATGGTTTAAATAAACCATAGCTAAAACTCCTTTATTTTTAGGAGTTTTTAGGGATGATTTTACTAATAATTCCCCTAATAAATTCCCTAAAATTAGAAGGATTTTAGAGACAATTTTTAAAAAATCATGGCTAAAGCCCCTCTAAAAAGGGATTTTTAAAGATGATTTTTCAAAAACCATCACCAAATATGGATATTAGCGATGGCTTTTGAACCACTTGCTAAACAAAAAAATAAAGGATTTTTAGTGACAATTTAATTAAAACCATCGTTAAAAACACCACAATTTGTCCTAATCGCGACATTTTCAAAACTATCGTTAAAAATCAACATTTCACACAAAACTAGTTACGGTTTACTCAAAACCATCCTTAAATGGCTAAAAAACGATCACTAATTACTTTTTTTTGTAGTGATCCATAAAATGATGAATTAGACACCCAATCCGGTCATGCTCCCTTTCTTTTCTATACTAAACATCGAGAAAGATATTGGTGCACCAGTTCACCAAAATTACCCTATTAATTTTTCACCTCCTTGCCTTTACTACCAACCATATCTTAAGTATGCAAAAATTGAATGTATTTATAAAATTAATTATATTATAAACGGAACCTTGAACATGACCCCCGAGGGCGGACAAACATATAGTCCTACGAGCCCCCCCCCAAAACTTCTTTTTTTTTCCTAAACCGAGTAACAAACCCAGCTCGTAGCCTTTAACTTCTTTATTTTTTTTCCTAAACCGAGTAACAAACCCGTCTAACTTTTTTTTTCCTCGACCGGGTAACAAACCCGAGCCTAGCGACCTCTAACTTTTTTTTTTAAATACACTTATGCACGGTCCCTATCCCTATCTTACCCTACACTTCAAAAGAAAAATATACCAACTAGCACTTCGTCGCCACTTGACACAAAACAAGCATGAGATAGTTCTTTTTTATTTTTTATTTTTCTATACTAGAGTAAGACAAACCCAACCCTCTTTAATGTCTTTTAACCTTTACCCTTGGTTTCCTCACAAGGCATAACTAAACCTTTAATATTTATTTAATTTGATCCCGGTTACCTCCTACCACTATTAAATCCGTTCCTTCTTTCCTTTTCCTTAAATCTTTTTCTATTCAAAATACTAAGAAGAAAACTTTTTTTTATCCGGATTTTTCTTATTCGACAACACAATGAGATATTTTCTCCGATCCGGATTAATTTACTTGATTCTCAATTGTTTATTTGTTTATAATAATGATTTTTTTATTTATATTTTATAGGTTTTATATTACTAAAGTGATTATTTTGAAATATACTCAATTTATTAGTAAAGCGGCTAGTGCTTATTATAATCCTCGATATTTTTAGGTACGTATACCAGGTGAGCTCGAGGGGTGGCTCCCAATAGACCTAGGTGGTGGTCTATTTATGTGTTTTGCTTGAAAATTTGAATCTCTTATTTAAATTTTAAGTGAATTTATAATTTATTACATATCGCACTTTAAAAATTACCGCATATTCATATTTGTAATTTATTTTTATTGTAGATGAAAAAGTCAAATACCATCGATCAATTCTTTAAAAGAAAGAATGTTATCATTTCAAACTCTAATGAGAAGTCAAATTCTTCTATTGATCATGATCCTTTAAATTCTAAAAATCCTCCTACAAAATCTTGAAAAGTTAAAATCAAAGAAGGATTTGATATCAATTCATTAAAACATGATCCGGGATTACAAACACAAATATGGGAGTATCCTATCGACAAACATGATGAAGTTCGAAGAGCCTATATTAATGTTGGTCCATATCGGCATATGCTTTCAAAGTATCCAAAATTTGGAGAAAAGCATCCTCGTAGTTTTCAAGCGTTATGGTTTAAATTATTTCCATCATGGCTAGAATATTCTCTAACCAAGGATGCTACATTTTGTCTATCATGATATTTATTTTACACACCAAATGGATCTTTTGGATCAAATGCATTTACTTGTTAATGGATTTCGATCATGGAAGAAAGTTAGAGATGATAAAAATTGTGCATTCTTAGCGCATTATGTAAAAGATCCCACTTCTCCTCAAAGAAATGCTAAGAAAGCATGTCGGGATCTCATGAATCAACCTTTGCATATTGAGAAAAAGTTTATGAAATTTACTTCTCGGCAAATTATAGATAATCGACTTCGATTGAAAGCTTCAATTGATGTAACTAAGTGGCTTGCATTTCAAGGATGTGCGTTTAGAGGTCATGATGAGACCAAAACATCGATGAATCGTGAAAATTTTCTTGAACTATTGAGTTTTATGGTATCTTACTGACATGGTAGCGGACGTATTAAGTAAAGCTCCACAAAATGCCTCATACACATCACCAAGAGTGCAAAAGGAAATTTTACAAGTCTTGGAAACTAAAGTCAAGAATGTCATCTCGTGAAGAAATTAGTGATGCAAAATTTTGTATAATTGTTGATGAAGCTCAAGATGAGTCTAAAAAGGAGCAAATGGCTATTGTATTGAGATTTGTTGACAAAAATGGATATGTGCAAGAGTGGTTTTTTAGGCTTGTTCATATCAAAGACAACTGCTTGCATTAACATTAAAAGAAGAAATATTTTCTATTCTCTCTCATTATAGTCTTGATGTTCGGAATATCAAAGGACGGGGTTATGATGGTTCAAGCAAAATGCAAGGGGAATGGAATGGGTTACAAGCTCTAATTTCAAATGAATGCCCTTTTGCATACTATGTTCATTGTTTGGCTCATCGTTTGCGAGTTGGCATTAGTTGCTTCATCAAATGAAGTTATCCCTATCCATCATTTTTTCACTAAATTGAACTCCATCATTAATATTGTTGGTGCTTCATGTAATCGTAATGACCGAGTTAAAAGCCGTTCATGTTGTAAATATTGCTTATTTACTTTTCATTGGTGAACTTGAAAGTGGGAGAGGGCTTAATCAAGTTGGTAGTTTACGAAAGTATGGGGATATCTCGTTGGAGTTCTCATCTAAAATCCATTTTCTAGCTTGATGAATATGTTTAGTGCAACTTGTGAAATTTTACTTGAATATTATTGAAGATGGAGCTACAACTTCTCGGCATGGAGATGCAAATGCGGCTTATGAGGGATTAACTTCTTTTGAATTTGTTTTCCTTATGCATCTAATGAGAAAATTTTTAGAGATATCCGATTTGCTTTGTCAAGATTTGCAATCGAGATCTCGGGATATTTTGAATGTAATCCATCTAGTTTCTTCCACTAAGTTACTCATTCAAAAATTAAGAGATGAAGGATAGGATGAATTAATTTCAAAAGTAAAATCTTTTTGTGAAGCGAGTCAACATACCTATACCAAATTTGAGTACTCATTATGTTGAAAAAGAAATTGTTGAAAATTTTAGTATGAATTCGTTTATAGATAATTTTCGTGACTTGAAAGAACGAAAATCTCTATTTTAAGTGATTGTATTTTGAGACTATTTTAAAATACATGTTGTTATGTTATTTATAATATATATAAATTTTTTCAAAGCATGACAAATTTATAAAAATTTATTTTGACCACCATAGACATTTGGTTCTACATCCGTCACTTATGACCCCCAAAATAATTGAATGTATTCCGTCAAATTCTTGAATATAAGACTTATTTCATAGAATATCTATCTTTTGCACCCCAAAAAATTAATTATATTATATAGTCGTTACCAGTTTTTTTTTTTTTTTTGGTTTAATGAATCATTATAATTTTCATTTTGACGCTCCCATTCCTCGGAAATCAAAGAAATCCATTAGGCTGGAAATTTGGTCTGGATACTGATGGCAATATCTAAACTCAAGTGAGGAGGGGTTAGTCTTTTTCTTAGGAAAAAAAAAAAAAAACTTGCTCGAATTTCTCAACTATGGAAACAAGAAAAAAGTTCATTGTGCAGGTGTCATTTTCTGGGGAGCGACGTTTGGGGCTTCATAGAAGAACGGTCACCATCTAACCATTCCAAAGACAGTAACACCTGTGCAACTAGAAATAGATGCTCAAAATTATGATTCTGCATCAGCTGCTTGTGTCACCCATCTTTACATATATTGCCTGTGTGCCTACGTACCCAACCAAATCTATATATAGTTCATGGATCTATGGCTTTTCTTCTCTCCATTGACGTAAAATTCCATTCTTCTTTTAACAATTTGAAGAAATGTGTGTGAAGATGATGAAATGCAACGATATATATACATATAATCATGATGAAAAAGCCAAAAGCATCTACGTATTTGTAGAAAGGAAAAACCTTCAGCAAATCCAATAATACCCCTACGTATAGAAATGCTGCACCAAAATCTCTCAATACAAGATCTACAACTTGAAACCGATTTTCTATCACATTTGAAGACTACACGCCCTGTTATATTCAATTAACTATATAATTTATTTAGGTATGGGCATATGTTGCATAATCTATGCCTCTACATATACCTTAATTTCGACAGAAACTAAGTTCATAAAACGTCTCTCTTTACATTTATTTGTTAGCACAAATTAAGAACTTTGCACAAAACAAAAACTGAGAAGAGGCAAAAAAAAAAAAAAAAGGTACTATATATAAAATAAAACCCAAAACCTTTTTCTTAACTGTTCAACATTACAAAACACAAGATGGAAACTGAGTCTACAAAGGAAAAAAAAAAAAAAAGAAAAAAAAACCAAAAGAACCAAAACCATTGGCAAACATTTGAGGGGAAAAAAGAAAAGAAAAGAAAACTTCCTGATGAACAGAAAATAAGTCCCCTAAAACCATTCATCAGAAAGAAAAAGAAAACACAAAAAAAAGGGAAAAAGAAAAAGTCCCCTAAAACCCTAAAAAGAGTAACAAAAGCAAACCCTGCTACTCCTTCCTGCTAATACTATCCCTTTTCTTTCCCCATTTCCTTAGCTGAATTTGGAGCATGCTAGTTGCAGCCAAGAAGTCAACACACTGCAATGGACTTAAAACATCCAAAACTCCCTTCAAAGTCCTAAGCCTAACACAGTCTGCTGCTTTCATAACCTTCTCTAGTCCTGCCATTACTCCTTTCAATGCCACCTCCACCAACCCGTCAACCCTATCCATTGTTTCACTATCCTGGACTCGACCTGTGAACCTTGCCAACTCCAACATCTTCCTATCTGCCATAGCCATCTGTTGCCTCTCCATTTCCCTCTCCACCTTCTCCTCCTGTAACCTTATCTTGACCCTCAACTCCTCAATCTTTCTCAGCTGTTCCTGTGTCAGCCCGGCAAGACTCAACCCAGGAACTCGATTTTTCCTTACTGAGTCAATGATTTCAAATATTGTTGAAGGTTTCCATCCAGTAACCCATGAAAATGCATTCTCTAAAGGGCTAGCCCAAATTGGAGAAAACAATTGCAAGCACGTCTTCATGGGCTAAAGACCATTTGACACTGAAGTAGTCTTTGTAATGCTGTGTCACTTTTGACGCCAAAGTTTGTAGCTCTGACTGATCACAAACGTCATGAACAACACTCTCTGTTGATACCCTCAGGAGCAGTTTTAGATACTCATCAAGTTGACATACCCACTTCTCAAAAAACTCAGAGAATCTCTCACCAACTTCGCTTTCCATTTTTGTTTGGTTTCTTTGTGGAAACATAGAGAATTAATGATATTTGAAAGGTTGAAGTTGATTCAATCAGAGAAAGGGCTAGATGTGTTCTTACCATATATATATATATATAGAGAGAGAGAGAGAGAGAGAGAGAGAGAGAGAGTTGGGTGGCTTGTGCATGGCTTACGCGCTGCAATGAGCTACTAGGGAGCTTGAAAGGTTAAATGACGCTTTGCAGAAAAAGAGAGGAACAAGCGCCTAATGGAGAACTTTGGCTTGGCTTCTTCTGCTTCGACCTTTGACTCTGTTGATGAGTCATTCGAGAACCCTACCACCTGGTGTATGGTATTTCTTATTTTGGAAAACGTGTCAATATTTGGCTGTTTGTGGGGTTCAACGTGGAACCCAGACAGGTCGCTCATTCTTCGTTGGGTACTCTGTTCACCCTAACATCAAACGCTCATTCTCACGAAAAAAATTTATCCATCCAATCCAATCCAATCAATTAATCTCTTCTAATATGAGAGTTTGATGTTACAATTGCAATTAAGCTACAGAATGCATGCTTTTCGTGAGGGCATTGCAAATTAAACATAGGTTCCATTTCTTTTAGCCTAAATTATGTAGAATCCTCCTCCACTATTATCAAAGTATCATTAACTTCTGAATAAAAATTTCATGCTATTAGTTTTTGAATAAATTTTTTTATTTGATTTAATTTGTTGGTTAGTTTTTATAGGATTCCATCCATGAAAAAACGGATTTTATACATGAAAATCACGTGTGTCCGTTTAAAGAAAATAATAGTTATTTAATAATAAAAATTTGTTTTCGGCCGTCATTGGGTCATGCACTCTAGATCTTCGAATTATTTGGATTGGTTTCTTGTACCCCTTTTTTATTGTGTCCTTATATTTTATTATCGATTTGATGACACTCTACTTTTATTTAAAAATACAATAAATCAAATCAAACAATTAGTTAAGAAACTAACGGCACAAAATTTTAGTTTAAGAGCTGATGGGAATTTGATCAACAATTTGAAAGAGATTTTGTACAATTTAGCTTTCTTACATTGCTAAATACAATAAGTTTCATATTTGAATTATATAACTATTTATATATAAAAATTATAGCTTTATGCAATATATATAAATATATGGATTTTACGTATTCAAGAACATTGTAATTGTATCCAAAAACTTAAGTTGGTAAAGATATCTGTATCAAATTTAGACTCTCCACAAAAACCATTAAATTTGTACATTCTCACAATTATGAGTCCTCTCCTTTATGGCTTCATAATCATCCGACATAAAGAGACTCATTCCCTCATTAAATACATGTCCAACAACTTTAATACATATATAATTTCATAAAGAACCCTCCTCTCTCTCTCTCTCATATCATACCTAGAGTGAGTTTTGCCAGGCATTCCACGGCACCACTAACATCGATATTTGCACTCCATGTTTATAGGATTTTAAAGGATACCATTATCATTTCTCCAACCCTTTAAAAAGGTTGAATATCTTGTGCAATAAATTTGAATGTCAAAATTTCACTCAACATTAATGGTGCCGTCTATGAAAAATTAAGTAAAAAGCTAGTTTTTCAACTCTCCATACAATCTCTATGGCTTTCTCAATCTCTAATTTAGTAATAATAGTGTCCTCCAACTACTCCTTTACCTAGTCAAACTCTTAAATCTCTGCATTGATATTGAATTTGTGAAGATAAATATTCAAGCTATAAATTTCAAACATTGAAAGCTAAAATCATGTTCAACAATAAAATAAACCCTAGGTTTGTTGATTTTGGCGAGATTAAAAATACCACTACACTTTAAGTGCATAAGCAACGAAAAGTAATCCTAACTTTGATTGATTTTGATGAGATTTAAAACTCCACTAACACCTTAGCAAATAATGACCAATAACATCACATTGAGAGATCAATCAAGGATACAAAAAATACATAACTTTAAAGATAAACACAAAAAAACACTCAAATAATTAAGAGAAACTTCTAAAGAATTTTATTTAATAAAAAATAATAAGTTTTAACTTCTTAAAACATGCATAAAAAAAGGTTTATAGCCTAATAACATAACCTAGGGTGAGGTAATATCCTTACAAATCCTAATTAGGAACTACTAAATTAGACTCCATGCATAAAAAAAGAAATAAATTAAATGCCTACAACAAAGTGTAACAAAAAAAATAAAAATCGAAGACACTCCTAAGTTAAAATAATAATAATAATAATTTGGTTATACAACTCATACTTAACCCAAGTATCCATCACTAAGATGAGGTAATTATCTCTTAATTTAAGAAACACAACACCTTAGCGAATAATGACCAATAACATCACATTGAGAGATCAATCAAGGATACAAAAAATATATAACTTTAAAGATAAACATAGAAAAACACTCAAATAATTGAGAGAAACTTCTCAAGAATTTTAGTTAATAAAAAATAATAAGTTTTAACTTCTTAAAACATGCATAAAAAAAAGGTTTATAGCCTAATAACATAACCTAGGATGAGGTAATATCCTTACCAATCCTAATTAAGAACTACTACATTAGACTCCATGCATAATAAATAAATAAATTAAATGCCTACAACAAAGCGTAACAAAAAAATAATAATAATAAAATAAAATCGAAGACACTCTTGAGTTAAAAGAGAAAAAAACAATTTGGTTATACAACTCATACTTCACCCAAGTATCCATCACTAAGATGAGGTAATGTATCTCTTCATTTAAGAAACACATCACCTCATATTGCCATTTTATGTTTGCTATACTCATTTGCTTATGAATTAATTTTAATTTACATTACATGACATACATGTATCCGTTTGTCCTAATATCTTCTAAAAAAGTATCAAATTAGTTGCATTAATATTATGATGGAAAAGATATTAGAAAAGTAAACAAGAAAGGTAAAATAATCACATAGCCATACTAACAAAAAAAACTTGGCAAAGCAAACATAGATAGTACAACAAAGCAACATCAAAGGAAAATGTAAGAAAATAAAAGGATGGGGATTTTTCAATCCTGACTCTCGAATAAAGTTAATTTTTCAATCTAAGTTTCGAATTGGGAAAAAAATGCAAATAAATTACAATAAGTCATGACTCTTGAACGAGTTAATTTTTTAGCCTAAGTTTCATAATTCGGAGAAAACACAAACAACTTGCAAGAAACTCACAAAAATGTAATTTGAACTTTCAAGGAAATCCAAAAATCTAACTTATTTCACCGAGCAGCATTAATCAACTTTCTAAGCTAACAAAGAAACTTCGTAAGGAAAACATTGACAACACAATAAAGCATTGTGAAATGAAAATGTAAGAAAATGTGGGGATAGCTATTTTTTAGTCCCGACTTTTGAACGAGTTAGTCTTCTAGCCTAAATTTCGAATTAAGAAAAAACACAAACAACTTGCAAGGATTTTGTAGCTTTGACTCTCGAATAGAGTCGGTCTTTCAAGCATAAATTTCAGAATTAAGAAAAAGCACAAATGACTTATGAAAAGTCGTGACTCCTAAACACAATTAATTTTCCAGCCCAAGTTTCAAAATTGAGTAAAAACACAAAAGACTTGCAAGAAACTAACGAAACACAATTTGAACTTTCCAACAAATCCAAAAACCCAACTTGTTTCACCCAAGCAAGATCAATCAACTCTTTAAGCTAACAAGAAAAACTTGACAAAGTAAACGAGAGACAAAACAACAAAGCAATGTCAAATGAAAATGTAATAAAAGGAAGGGATAGTGATTTTTCGATCCTAACTCCCGAATATAGTTAATTTTTTTTCTAAGTTTCGGAATTGGGAAAAAACACAAATAACTTATAAGAAGTCCTAACTCTTGAATAGAGTTAATTTATTAGCCCAAGTTTCACAATTCAAAGAAAACGTAAATGACTTGTAAGAAACTCACGTAAACATAATTTGAACTTTCGAAGGAATCCAAAAATCCAACTTCTTTCACCTAGCGAGCATCAATGAACTTTCTAAGCTAACAAAGAAACTTGGCATGGCAAACATTGACGACATAATAAAGCATTGTGAAATGAAAATTTAAGAAAAGATAGGACTAGCAATTTTTCAATCTTGACTCTCGAACAAAGTTAGTCTTCCACCCTAAATTTTAGAATTAAGAAAAAACATAAATGACTTGCAAGGATTTTTCGAGTCCTTATTCCTTAATAGAGTGAGTTTTTCGACTGAATTTCAGAATCAAGAAAAAACACAAATGATTTGCAAGAAGTCCCGACTTATGAACACGGTTAATTTTTCGGTCCAAGTTTCAGAATTGAGTAAAAATAAAAAGGACTTATAAGAAACTACTAGAAACTGTAATTTGAAGTTTCAAACAAATCCAAAAACAAACTTGTTTCACCCAACGAACATCAATCAACTTTCTAAGCTAATAAAAAAACTTGGCAAAGCAAACATAGATAGTACAGCAAAGCAATGTCAAATGAAAATGTAAGAAAATGAAGGGATGACGATTTTTTAGTCTTGACTCTCGAATAGAGTTAATTTTTCAGCCTATGTTTCAAAAATTGAGAAAAAACACAAATAAGTTGTAAGAAGTCTTGACTCTTGAAGAAAGTTAATTTTTCAGCCTAAGTTTCATAATTCAAAGAAAACACAAACAACTTACAAGAAACTCACAAAAACATAATTTCAACTTTTAAGGAAATCCAAAAATCCAACTTATTTCACCCAAGACAGATCAATCAACTTTCTAAGCTAACAAAGAAATTGGACAAAGCAAAAATTGACATCACAATAAAGCATTATGAAATGAAAATGTAAGAAAAGGTCGGGACAACAATTTTTCGAGTCCTGACTCCTAAACGAGAGGTAGTCTTCTAGCCTAAATTTTAGAATTAAGAAAAAACACAAATGACTTATAAGGATTTTCGAGTCTCGAATCTTGAACGAGTTAGTCTTTCAGCTTAAATTTCATAATTAAGAAAAAACATAAATGACTTGCAAAAAGTCCTAACTCATAAACACAATTAATTTTTCAAGCCATGCTTCACAATTGAGTAAAAACACAAAAAACTTGTATGAAACTGATAGAAACATAATTTGAAGTTTCAAGCAAATTCAAAACACAACTTGTTTCACCCAGGTAGCTTCAATCAACTAAAATGGACGAGTATAACAAAGCAATGTCAAATAAAAATATAAGAAAAGGCGAGAGATGGTAAATTTTCAGTCCCGACTCCTAAATAGAGTTAATTTTTCAATCTAAGTTTCGGAATTGAGAAAAAGCACAAATTACCTATAAGAAAGTTAGAGGAACCTAATTTGAACTTTCAAGGATATCCAAAACTACGAGTTGTTTCAACCAGCGAGTATCAATTTACTTTTTAAGCAACAAATAAAATAAAGAGTAAAGAAAACACAACGAGACACTCAATATAAGGAAACAAAACACAATAGAGGCCAAAACCAAGAAGGCAAACAATAGATGAAAACAATGTCAAATGAAAATGTAAGAAAAGGTAGTGGAATACAAAGTAGAGAGAAAAGCAAAAAAGAGAAAATAAGATCACCAATTAGAACTGGAAGGGGAGGAAAATAGAACACAAAAGAAAATAGATGAAAATCAATATATGAAAGGAGGGAACAAAAAGAATGAACGATCGACTATAAAAAAAAAGGCTCGAAGGAAGCATGAAAATTATTTAGATGAAAGATTTATTGAAGCAAGTCTTATCAATAGTTGAAAAGAAAACATATAATCGGATTACATATGAACAAAAGACTTACTCGGTTACAATCAAATCGAAGAGGAAATAGAAGAGCGAGACCAAAAGGTAAATCATCCCACATAAAGTAAATAGCCATTATGACTAAAAGAAATGAAAGGGATACTAACCGAAAACTAAAAATAGTTGGTGGGGAGTTAGATGCGAGAGGCAATCATGATTTTCTAGAAGTTGGGCAAGATAGAGAAAATAAAATATAAATCAAATCATTTTACAGGACCATTACGGTAGAGCATTTAGTGCTCGGTGACAACAAGTTAAAAATAAAAAACGGGCTAAAGAAATATTGAAGAAAAACAAGAGAAGAGGATAAAAAGGTAATCTAACAAGGTAAAATATCAATCTTTCATTGTCACTACCTTCTTGCCATTCTTCCCATGTGCTTGCCTCCGTGTTTCTCGGTTGTTCATCTCTACCCCTTTGTAATTAGATTTTCTTCTTGTTTTTTTTTCAATCTCCCTTCCTTGCTTCATTTAATGTTCTTTTTTCCTTCTAGCCAATGCCACTTCAATTGCATATTTAATTACCTTTTTTCCATTACATGGTGATGTGGGCTTACGGTTTTGCCTCGATTTCAGCATCCTCATTCATTTCTCTTTAGTTTGTATTTTTTTCTCCTCAATCAACCCTTTAATTGTATCTTTAATTATTTTTTTCCATCGGTTGGCGGTATGGGCTTACATTTGTGCCCTTATTTCAACATCCTTGTTCCCTTATTTTGGTTTGTATTTATAATGCTCTTTGAAAAACAATGTGAAGGACATGAATAAAATTCTTTTTTGTCATCTGCAGTCATTTGCTAGTTAGCATTCAATGGATTGCAATGGTGATATTTTTTATTTTCTTTCTTTCCCTTGAAAATCCTAGATTGCAAGAGATTTAAACCCCACCAGTGACTTTGTTTCCCATCCCGATCTCTCATTTTTTTCCTCCTCTTTGGCTAGGCTTTTATTGGTTGTAGAAGAAGCAAAAGAAAATCAAGAAAAGAGGGTAACTTCAAAAGAGAGAACAACTAAAAAAAGCCGATAACTACTGTTTTCTCCCTCACTCTTCTTACTAATAGTCGATGAAATCTAAAAACGCTACTTGTTGCTTTGCAAGTTCCAAAAATTGAACAAGTAGTTTCTACTATTAATACTTATGTAAACTGATTCTCTTCATTATTTATCCAGGTTTATTAGATTAATTTGATCATTCAAGTGGTAGACTTTAGGGTTTTATTTTTCATTTTATAGTTATCTAGTCTGTTTGGCCGTATTATTGATATGGGTTTCCTTTAAGAGAATCCGTGAACTGAATATTTGGATGCTCTATGTTTGATTTTGAAACTAGATTTTTTAGGAAGAGAAGATGGGGTTTATTATGGAATTTGCTAAGAAATTGGTTTTGAAGGCGATGGAGCATCCAAATGAGAGGTATCGAAAGTTGAGGGAGCACATATATGTTATTAAGGATCGATGGCAAAAGACAAAGGATATGTAGAGCTATCTTCTTCATCCTTATTGATTTTGGAAATTTGAGCATCAAAATGCATAGCTTGCTTGGGATGGTAAGATCGCCGGGTTTTTAGTCGAAGGACCCCTATGATGACCTCCTTTAAGATAGTTATGGCCTCTCCAAGTTAATACAATGACTCGAGGTTTGTTCTTGCAAGTATAATTGAATTTGAATCGATTGATGTTATGTTGATATCATGTGGTGTGGAGCATGATAAGCTGTAACATCCGATTGCAATTTGAGAAAAAAAAATTTTGCCTAAATTTTTTCACTAGCATGAATGACTCATACTTTTTTATTGGAATTCTTGATAAATAGATCAATGGCCTTGACAATGAGACTATGAGGTTGCCTAGGGAGCATTCTCCATCCTCATCTCCTCTTTTTTTTTTTTTGTCCTCTTTGGCTAGGCTTACGTTAGTTATAGAAGAAGCAAAAGAAAAGAAAGAAGAGAGGGCAACTTCAAAAGAGAGGGCTTTGACAATGGGAATATGAGGTTGTTTAGAGGGACATTTCCCATCCTCATCTCTCCTTTTTTCATCCTATTTGGCTTGCCTTCTATTGGTTATAGAAGACGGAAAATAAAAGAAAGAAGAGAGGGCCACCTTCGAAGGAAAGAAGGCTGCTACATAGAAGAGGGAAAAGAAAAGCTACGATGCTGTCTACGATGATCTGTGTGGGGGTGAACAGTCTCACCCCCACATATTTTAGGGTCTTTTGTAATATTATCCTACTTTTATTCAAAAGAAAAAAAAAGTTGAGTCTCGCTACACCAAATGCACATGACACAATCGCTAGGGGTGAGCATTATTCGGTTAAAATCAAACCGAATCGAATTAGCAATTTTGGTTCGATTTTTAAAAAAAAATTAAAAAAAACGAAACCGAAAATCGAAATTATTTCGGTTCGATTCGGTTTTTTTTTCAAATTCGATTTCCATCGAAAACCGAATTAGTTTTTTTTAAAAAACGCATACCCAAGCTCTTTTTTTTTTTAATCAAAGAGGCGCCTATGGGTTTAACTAAAAGAACAATAGCTTTAATGATTTTTTTTACTTAAAATAGAAATATTTTCCTTTAATTATTTATTGAAATAATAAAATAATTGATTATATTATATTGACTCACAAAAAAAAAAAAAGACTCGTGATAAAGTAATTCTTTATAAATACACAAATTTATGTGTGGGTGAATCCTAAAACCTCATGAAAAACAAAAATTATCTCCTTGTATTAAAATTGGCACAAACATAAATTAAAAATTGGATTTTTCATATTATCTATTTAACAATAAAATATGCACAAAATAAATAGATTAAAAAAATATATATGAAAAATTAATAAAAAAAAACTAATTATAGCGTGATTGAAAAAATAATGAGAAACCCAACTAATTTAGTTTTAATTTAAATAGAAACAAATTTAGTATAGAAAAATAATAATAATCATACACAATTTTCTTATAAAATCAAATGTGACATATGCAATCTTTGATTATGCAAGTTTTATATTTTTTAAAAGAAAAATAATTCGATTTAAAAAAAAATATCAGTTTTTAACCGAAAATTGAAAAATAGAACCGAAAATTTTGGTTTTTTAACCGAAAAACCAAACCTCAATTCGGTTCGATTTTGATTTTTGTTTTGATCAATTTGGTTAATTGAAAACCAAAAAAAAAAAAACATCGATTATTATTGGAATCCTAACAACCGCTGAATGGCTTAGCTACACCTATTCTTGGTTTCTCTCTCTCTCTCTTTTAAATCCCTTTATTTGTTAGTTTAACCTTTTTAAAAATCAAAATGTAATTTAAAAAAATTAAATAAAGACGCGATGAGACATTAATGATTTGTCATGACCTTAATGATTAACCGTAGAATCTTAGGAGTTAATTTAATTGATTATTATTGGAAAATTGAGGTAACAAATCTTCAATAATTCAATATTTACCTAAATTTTTGGCGCATTAATGTTAGGAGAAATTTTGTTGAAAAACTGGAGGCGTAGAAAACCAATTTTCCACCATAACTTTGAAATAAAATGTTCCACATTCTAAATTTTGTTGTGATAAGATCAATGGAAATTTTTCATAATGAAATTCAAAGTTATTTTTGGGTTAATTAATAAAAGATTTGCTTAAATTTTTTGCACCTACTACAAGCAAAGTTTACTGGGTCATAAAACTTTACAGGTTCAAAAGTCAACTTCACGGTTTAAATTTTCAGTGGGAACAACCCTTTCAATTAATTATATGCATGATATAAATTTTTAGGACTGAAATTTTAGAAAGGTTCTCGTTGATGCATGAAAGTTTCAATTGATTGAGTCAATTAATAAAAGATTTACTTAATTTTTGGACACATTAGTTATACTAAAATATCAATTTTGATGAAAATTAATTTTAGTATATTTGTATTTTAACAGGAATTAATCAAAAAATAAAAATAAAGGAAAAACCTCAATCTAGCCCCTAACTTATTTACCCGAATCTCAAAACTTTTATCTTATCAATTTTATCCTAAAGGTATTCCTTCTTTATCAACATGTGTCCCTCTTCTTTATATTTTATCCTCTCTTTTTTTCTCGAACGTAATAAGTAATAAATATTAGACGATGTCACTCTTTAATCCATCTACTATTAATTATAGTTAAATATTTCATATAATTTTGATTATTTTAATAGAAACACTTAAAGAGCATGTAGAAATTTGCCAAAATATTTAACTATCACTAACATAGATGGATTGAAAATGAAATCGTATAAGGTTCATTAAAAGTATCAAAATAAACCCTAGAATTCCATAATAAATAATTTTAGTACCAAATTATAGTAAATTTTTCCTTTATATGAGCTAGTGAAGTAGAGGGGAAAAAAATAAAAAATTCACTAAGATTTCATGCTATAATTATCTTTTAGGGCATATTCAAGCTTATTTTAGTGCTTTCGATGAAAGTACTTAACTAACACATGCCAATTGAATAGAATATTTAACTACCAGCATCAATTGATGAATTAAATAGTGATGCAAGGTTTATTATGTTTGAAACAAAATTTATAAAATTGAAAGTTTTGGACTTAATAGATAATAGAATAGCATGTTAAGAGGAAATTAATTAAATCAAAAGGTTTGAAATTTAATAGATAATGAAATAATACATTAGGAGCTAGAATAAGATTTACCAAAATACAAACATATTTTGTTAGCGAAGATGTGAAAACACACAAGCCCGCTTGTTAATTTTTCTCTTTAAATGAAGTTGGATTTCCTAAACATATATGATACATTGTCTCAATACTAGCAAAAGAAAAACCAAAAATTGATCATAAACTTTTCATTTCACTCAACTATTAGTTGCCATAGGGGATTATAGTTTGTTTTAATAACACAATTAATTTTGAAGAAGAGGACGCGACATCCAAAAATTTCGAAATTAAGGAACATCCAGTACTTGCAATTACCAAAACTATATATATAAAAAAAACAATGTACACAACGAGATTGCTTATCTTGTAATAGATCACATAGTTCAGGACGAAAAAAGGAAAGCAGCCAACAAGCGGGGGCGAAGCTACCTAAGGGCAGACGGGGACTGGCCTCATCCCTCAGAGTTTCTTTTGGTCCCCAAAGTTATATAAAATATTCAACTATGCTATTTAAAAATTATAAATTAACCCCTCTTGATTTTTTTTCGAAATAAAAGGTTTTTAGTAATAGTAAGTGTTTTCATGTGATCTATTATATAAATTCACCTTCTTCTTTTTTCATTTAATGTATATTGAAATATTTTTATATGAGAAAGAAAACTGTAGTGAAATCATTTATTCTTTTTATTTAGATAATATGCTTTGAAATTGAAAAACGTGTATGAAAATTTAGTAATATGTGCTGAATTGGAGTAATTATATAAATGGTTCACGTGCATCTATAACTCCAATAAAAATTTTGCTAGCGATTAGAAATCAATAATCTAAAATAATAACTAAAATGTTAATATTTTAAGTTTTTTTTTTTACTTATTTACTGGAAGTGATCTCTGATCAATTGATTTTATGGAATATATTAAAATTTATATATTCTTTTAAGACATTATACTTGTGTATGCACACAATTATGTTATTAATATGAGTCTTTCTTGGCGTGGTGGGTTCAACTATGGTGGATCTGTCAATGGAAAAAAGATTTTTTGAGCCACATGGATGGATGCTCTTATTATGCTTGTGGTGTTGGTAGTAAATAACTAAAGAATTTATCAACTTTTAATTGATATGTAGGCCTTAATTAGCTTCTCAATGCATCGTTATAGTGTAACATATCGATCAATAAAGCCCTGTAACATGCAAAATTGAATGGTAGAAGTCATGGAGAAATTTGAAGATTAGAGAAATAAGATGATTAGGGACCGGGTTTTTACTCGGTTCTTAAAAAACGACATCATTAATGAGATTGTGATTCTCAAATTATTTGAACGATTAGATATTGTTTCTCTTGGACAAATTGTAACGTGGAGATTTTTCATTATTTTAGAGTCTTTATGGCTTGTATCCGTAAGACAAAATCCTCTTTTAGTATTTGAAGGACCTTTTGATGGCTAAGTTAATGTATAAAAAGGAGTGTTTAGCTTGATTAGACTTAATAGTATATTTTTTGATAAGTTTGGTTTGAATAGGCTCGGTAGTGTGTTTTGCTATATTTGGAAAAGATATACAATGTAATTTTGTTTATACAGAAGCGATGAAGGTAAAATCTAACATCTAAGCATATTTGAGGTTAACGTTTATATAATGAGAGAGATGAATCAACTTGCATGGAGTGGAAGAAATGTTCTCCTTTCTCTTGGGGGTAAAAGGATATTTTTACTCTATTATTCAATGCCTTGTGATTAGAGTTTTTGATCCTTTTAGGTGAATGTTTTGTGAGCATTGATGTAAATATTATTATTTTTTATAGTGATGTGTGGAACAATATCTTTCATTTAATGCATGTCTTTTATGTTTTTTCTCTCTCAAAGGAAAAACTAAACCACAAGATTAGCCATGAGTTTCAAAAACAAGTATTCTCGATTTGGAATTTGTTTGGTAAGAGGATCTCCTATAGACATAATAAAAGCAAGTGAGTCTCTTCTTCACAATTTGATGAGAAACATGTGTCGGATCGTATTTTTATAGATATATCAATCTATTATATGAAATCACCTATTTTCTTATTTAATGTATATTGAAATATTTTTATATGAGAGAAAGAAAAATACAGTGAAATCATTTATTTATTTATTTATTTAGATAATATGTATTGAAATTGAAAAAAAAAACATATATGAACTAGTAATATGTACTAAATAGGAATAATTATGTAAATGGTTCACTTTCATTTATAACTCCAATAAAACTTTTATTAGCAATTAGAAATCAATAATCTAAAATAACAACTAATATGTTAATATTTTATGTTTTATTTATTTATTTATTTATTAGAGGTGATCAAATGATTTTATGGAATATATTAGAATACTAAGTATATTAGAAATTATGTATTCTTTTAAGATATTACATCTGCATATACACACAATTATATTATGGATCTGATTCAATTTAATATGGCTCCGGAAACATTCCCATACCCTTTTTTTTTCTTTTTTTTAACAATTAAGGATATGATACACCATCTTACAAAATCCAAAATTATCGGCTCTGATAAATACATACGACTAGACAAACTGAGCTTTCTCAACTCTATGTCCGAATTCCACGACTATTCAAAAAGTTTGAATATGTGGAACAGAATAATAATCATGTCCACTAGATTGAGTGAATCTGGTGAAATTCAAGAGTAGTGTACACCATGTGAGTGTGTGTGTCCCAACCAAGAGCAAAATTCGTTTGGTTAAGACAAGTGATGAACTACCCTCAGAGTAAGGTCACTGCCCTAGAATCAATCATTGAGGGCTTTTCGGGCTCATTCCGTGGGCCTCTTTTAACTGCACACCACTGCTTTACCGCTGCCTTATTTTGCTGGAATTCTCTCCCCGTACCAAAGCAAAACGCCACGCCAATTATATGGACATTGCAATTTACAGACGTATCATTGGGCTAGCTGGTCACTAGGCATCCACATGGCCAACCCCTCATGCTTTCGTTGAAATGATAGTTGGCAGACTTGCGGTCCCAACACACATTTGAACCCACCGAAGATTTTCTTTTTCTCCTTTGGCTAGTTGCTTCCATAGTTCCATGACTATGCCATCATCATTGACTGCTATTACTATCATTAAAGAAACTAAAAAATGTGGGGCAAATGAAAAATAAATATTATTTATTTACTGTTCGTTTGTCTTAATTCATTGTTGACAATATGACACTTTTGTAATTTTTTGCAATTCTTTTTGTTGTTTTTTTCCCTTCAAGTTGCTGTCTGTCCTCTCTCCTGTAAACTGCCCATGTCATTTGTCAACACTAAATTGCTAGGAAACTGAGGAAAAGTGAACTAGACACGTATATACAGCTACAAATAATTTCAAAAACGTTATTGATAAAACATAATGTTGAGTGCTATTCGGTCTTTTCAACTCCAAAAATTAGCTTGAAGAATGACATTTTCAAGCACCTAGCGTTTTATACATTAGACACAAGGAAAATTGCTTAACGTGAGTTCACAAGGACCTGAAACAAAAGTTATAAGCAAAAACATTTGTAGAATTTATAATATATCAAACATACACAAGTAATGGATGTGGAAGAGAAGAGTACATGGACAGAATACAAGGACAAAATGGAGATCAAATTAAGAAATGTCCTATCTAAAGACAAGCACTTAAGCAGAATTAAGGCAAATGATAAAATCAAATTCAACGAAAAAACAAATGGATACCGCCACCAACAGAATTTGTAAAGGAAGATAGTTTAAGATTGACTCCAACGAAAAAACAAGAAAATTATACACCAAACGACTAAGCTTTTGAAAGTTGCGAATACTTCTGCAGATAAGAATGCTGGCTTCACGTCAAGCCAAATTCAAGCTCTGTTGTCCTGTTGATCATTGCAGGAGGCATGTGACACAGATTGCAGAAGTAAACAAGTCAAAAAGAATGCTTTTTTTTTTACTTTTAAAGGGTTGGGCTGCTGGATTTCTATATGTTCTCGTATGACAATTGTTATTCTTTTAAATAATAATCTTTTTTATTATGAAATTAGGTATGAAAATATAAAAAAAGATGATTTTTTTTTTAAATATAGTTTGACAGTAATAGAATATATATGATATTTTTTAAAATTTTAGTTTTGAATATATATATTTGATTATATTATTTTTATTATTTAAAATTTATTTTCTCAATTTTTTATTATTATTAAAATTCTCATTGAATTAATTTTTAAATTTTATATAATTTTATTTGTTAATAAATTTGATTTTTTAATATATGGCTTTTGAAATAAAATTTAGAACATGGTTGTTTTATTTTTTAAAATATATTATTATAATTTAAACGATTGATTATTTTTATGATTTTTCAATGAAAATGACATTGTTGCGTATATAAATTCGACGAGAGAGAGAGAGAGAGAGAGAGAGAGAGAGAGAGAGCTAAAAGTGTGTTTTAGATAATTTGACTTAATTTTTTTTAAAAAAATAATCAGTTAAAAACTAATTTGGCTTGGTTTTTTCAAAAAAAAAATAATAATAATAGTTGAAAAAATTCACGGGTTTTATATATATATAATTCCGTCATATATAAATTCGATAAGGGAGATAGAGAGCTAAAAGTGTAATTTAGATAATTTGACTTAATTTTTTTTATAAAAATAATAATTAGTTAAAAAAATTCTACTCAATTTTTTTTAAAAAATAATAATTAGTTAAAAAAAATTAACAAGTTTTATTTTGTTATATATATATATATAATCAAAATTTATCGAAACTAATTTTATATAATAGTTTTTATTTAAATCTGTTTACTTCGATATATTCTATGCGATTTAGGTTGTTTTTTTATATACATATTTTTTTATGTTATATACTATAAATCTGCTAAGTACTATATATATATATATATATATATATGAATGAATGATATTTTTCATGTTTATCCGATTTCCGCATTGTTTATATTGATGTTGTGCTTATTTATTCTATGTCTATAGAACAACATTTTAAGCATCTTAAAACTTTCTTTCATGTTGTCAAAAAGAATGGTTTGGTAGTTTCCAAATCTAAGATTTCTCTATTCCAAACCCTTTCAAAACTGTGAAACCAGGTGACTACTAGGAACAAAACCCCTGTTTGGGAAGTGGAAGGACGGATGATTCGGTCGACCATCCTCCACCTAGGAAACTCGACCTTCTCCTATGGAGAAACCAAAATAGAAGTTTATCCTTACAAAATCCCCAAAGATGATGACTCGATCGGCATCAAAAATATTTTTCAACAGAATAATTTTACCAATACCAATCTTCAAACCATAGGAAAACAACTTATATATAGTTTTGTTAGAAATTAATTATATCCGCACACATAATATCAATTATTTGTTATTTATTTTTTTATGTTCTAAAATCTGTATTTTTAAATGAAATAATTTTATTAATGTTTTGAAAGAACCTCTTAATTATTCAAATAAAACTTTTTATACTAATATTATAAATTATTTTGTTAATAAATATATATGAATCAAACAATTTTGTTGAATATATAGATTCGATTTATATTAATCTTTAGAAATAAAACATTTACTCGCATCATACAATACAAATCGTTAACCCTATATATATAATGATTATCTTACCACGAGCGTAGTATGGGTATCTAACTAGTATAAACTAAAGTAAAATGATTTTTTACTGTAGTAATGAACGAGTGTTAATAACAAATTATATTTTTTGACTTCAATATATATACATATATTAAAAATTATAAAATTAGATGAAATTTTATCTTTTGTATTTAATTTAATATATTTTAATTGATCGATAACATAGTATATATTATTAAACTAAAATAAATATGTTTAATTTGGTCTACGAGCATTACGTGAGAATTCGAATTATTTATATGTCTAAAATTCCTATTAACTCACTTGTTCATATGCATAAAATTACTATTCACTTGATAACAATTTAAATAATTTTCGTGTGTCGTTTTTTTTTTTTGTATGTTTTTGGGCTATAATATGCAAATTTAACACTTTTTTCTATTTTCCATCCCTTATATTGTAACATTTTGTTTTTCAATCCTTAGTTTTCATTTTTCTTTTATTTTCACACAGCATGTATATATATACACACACACACACACACACACACACACACACACACACATACACTATCTTTTAATATTTTAAAATTAACATATACGTCAACTTATATTACTCATATCATTTAAATTTCATTCTTTGAATTTATCATTTTTTATGAAAATTCTCATCTAATTAATATTTTTTATAGAAGATTTTATTTACTGATAAATATAATTTATTTTTCTCCATGTTTGAATTTTAGAATAAAATTTTAAAACATGATTGTTTTTTCTTTTTTAAGAAATAAATTAGTATAATATATATCATGAATTCTAAGAATTTTTAAATGATAGTTGTGCCTATATACATATATAATTATTTTATTCTAAAAGGTTAAAAGTATATTTTACATAATTTATCTCGATTCACTAGGTACGATCAAGACATATTAAAAAAACTATTGAATCATTGATTTTATTAAAAATTAACTATACATCTTCCAACATAATACAAATTATTTTCTATGAATATTTCTTTAACATTATATAAAAAATTTATTTGTAATAAAATAATTAAAATAATTTTTTAAATGAGCCAACCAATTATTCAAATATAGTTTTTTACGCTAATTTTGTTGATTATTTTGTAAATAAACAAATATAGATCTAATGTATATATTTTAAAAAAATAATCTTCTCATCAACATTAAATAAGAATAAATTTTTATTTTTTCATTAGTTAATTTGAATGCAAGTCCGTACGTTAATTGTGATGCATTTTATAAAAAAATATATAATTTTAAAGTATTTGCCTTTGAATTCTTAATTAATATTTCGGGTTTAAATTATTACAAGTTTTTATTTAAGAATCTTTACATAAAGAAGAATAAATTATTTTATTAAGCAAAAAAAAAATGAAAAAAAAATTGTAATAATTAAATAAAAAATTATTAAAAAAAATTATAAAAATTTTAAATGATTTTGTTCTATCTATCCACAGGATTCCACATATAATTTTAAAAATTAATTTTCTCATTAACATTAGATAAGAATTTTTTTTTCATTTGCTAGTTTTTTTATAAATTTAATTTTTGGAATACAATATTATGAAAATTATATTTTTAAAGTTTTTTAATTCTTGATCAATATTTTAGTTAAAATTATTATATTTTTTATTTTAAAATTAATTCATAAAAAAGAATGATTTATGTTTTTTTAAACAGAAAATTTAAAAAAAATTAAAATTAAAATTTTAATTAAATAAAAAATTTTAAAAAAAATTTAAAAATTTAAAATAATTTTTTTTACCGAATCGCAGCGTAGCTCGGGCAAACAACTAATTAAAAACTAAAAAATTTTTAATTCAAATACCATATTATTTTTTTTAACAAAATTAAGTTTGTCGATTTGGTTTACTAAATTTTAAACATAATTTTCGCACATGATACTACCATAATCTAATAAGTAAATGACATATGAATCCTTTGTCAGTTTTATTTTTATTTTCGACCAGTTTGAACCTATGAAATTACAAATACCCCACCCCTAAATCGAAACAAAAAATTGGAATTTTGAAAAATTCTTAAATCAAACCAAGGTTCCTTCTCTCTCTCGGAACTCAATAATTTCAAGTTTAAACATGACATTCAATCTGGATTTTATTAGCCCAACAGTCGACAAATGGAAGGCATGGGACAAGTGATTGGAGACAAAAGTTACTTATGTGATCTGAAAAAGGAAATTGGCGCATGGCAGAAGCGGAATGACCAACAATGGCCATGAAAATCAAGTGCACCAACAGAAGCAAGCCCACTTTCTTGCTCATCGTTTCCTTCATCACTCCAGCAGTAAAACTCTCAATCTTGTCATCTTGAAAGGACATTTGGTATCCTTTAAAAAGCTTGTCATCGTTGGATTTGATCCAAGAAACAATCTTGCTTGCAATCATAGTAGAACTTAAAGCAGGCATGAAGATTTCTCGGATCTTGGCATGGACTCGGGAGTGGGTCAGGGTTAAATGCAGGTTGCCCTGAAGAAAGATTGGTTTTTTGACAGAAAGGGAGGAGGAAAAAATGTGGTGTGGAGAAGCTAAGCCATTGAAGTTTGGAATTGTGAGAGAGGTTTGTGTTTGGAAATGGGGAGATTGTTTCAAAGGTTGGGTTTTGTTAAAAAAGAGGTAATGGGATTCATTAGAAACATCAAAAGAAAGAGACAAACATTGAAGGATAAAGTTCATATATTTAGATATGGTCTGCAAAAATGCAAGGTCTTTGTTAATCAGAAGAAATTGGTTGCTGGAGATTCAATATGTACAGAAGCTTTTTGATGATCGAAGAGATGAGAGAACTGGGGATGAAAAAAATAAAAGAATGAAGGGAAAAAAATATTATAAAATTTGAATTGAAAAAATTTTAATTCGAGATATTAGCCTACAGTCAACGTATGATACATAATACAATCGAATGAATTAACCTTCTCCTTTTGGACGCTTGTTACAATATTAATGTCACGTGTGTTCCTGGGTATGGCTAGTGATTTTGAATTTTGAACATGCATCTTCAACCACAAATCATATAAATTGTCTTTTGACTTCGCCTTTTGATAAATTGAGCAGTTATGTTTTTAGTCCGACAAATAATTGGCATATCAACATATAGTTTGGATAATATTTACAAAAGTGCGTTTGGTTAAAAAAATGTCAATTGTGTGTTTTTTTTTATTATTTTTATGGTTCTGAAACCATTTAAAAAATACATAGATTTGATATTTTCTTGTTCCATACGTTTTTTAGAAGTATTTTCAAACACATCCCGAACATGTTACCAATCTCAATAATTTTATTTCTAGGTATTCTTATTTTAAATTAGAAATAGGATTAATTATGTTTGGACTAAGAGAATGACAAGATTTAACTTTTTTTAATAAATACGATTCTATAATTTAAACATTCCATGTTAATAAAACATTTGTTTAAAAACTAATTTATTTATTACTAAAAGAGTAGCTTATTGGTTTCCAAATTCAATATTAATATACTGCCTAATGGTCCCTTTCCAATTTGATTTTCAGAAAAAACAAACAAAAAAACTATAGCTGTGGTTCTCATTCATGAATCATTGCCACCGATGAAGAGCGGAGTAGGATAAGTAGTGCAAAATAATTGAGTAGAGTAGATGACTATTTTAGAATCTAAATAAGCATAATTGTCAGTGCAAGCTACGGTTCTGCCATGCGATGTCTGAGAAAGCCCTCCCTTGTACCGTTATAAATTATGTATAAAGACATCTATGGCCCTCATTTGTCACAAAGAGGTTGGTCGTGGATGACAAACACCAAAATAATTTACGGCTGCCATGTACATTAATTTCAACTGATTAGACAATAGGGTAGTTGGGTTTAAAAAAAAAAATAGAAAACATTTAGTTATTCAAAGCTGTATCTAGAGAATGTTAGCATGTTCTTCAAATTAAATTCCTACATTGAATTAAAGCCATTACAGAACATAATAAGAGTAGTTTGTGTTTTTAACAAGAAGTTGGAAAATATAAGCCTGAATATATTAGTACACATAAATAGGAGATCAATATTATCCATTTTTTAATATTCTCAAAAAAATATTGTCCAGTCCTTACATATAGACCAGACTTTTGCTATATTTATAATCTTTTAATCATTCAGCCTTTCTGATACTACAATTGATGAAAGGGTATGCTATGTCTTCCTAGAATAACCTTCTTCTTCTGCTTATCTCCTCCATAGGGGAAATGGCTTAATCTTTAATTGCCAGAAGGAATAAGGGAAAATATGGACAAGAAAGGTCCTATATTGATGAAGAGATATGAGTTAGGGCGATTGCTCGGACAAGGGACTTTCGCCAAGGTTTACCATGCAAGAAATCTCAAATCTGGTCAAAGCGTTGCCATCAAGATTATTGATAAAGAGAAGGTCTTAAAGAGTGGTTTGATAGATCAAATCAAGAGAGAAATCTCGGTCATGCGTCTTGTTAGGCACCCCAATATTGTTCAACTGTATGAGGTCATGGCAAGCAGGACCAAGATTTATTTCGTCATGGAGTTTGTGAAAGGTGGAGAGCTATTCAACATGGTAGTCAAAGGGAGACTCAAGGAAGATGTTGCTCGGAAGTATATCCAACAATTGATTGGTGCGGTCGATTTTTGCCATAGCCGAGGGGTCTACCATCGAGATCTCAAGCCTGAAAATCTTCTCCTTGATGAAAATGGTGACCTAAAGATTACAGATTTCGGATTGAGTGCATTGGCGGAGTCAAAGAGGCACGATGGCCTTCTCTACACAACCTGTGGAACTCCTGCATATGTTGCTCCTGAAGTCATTAACAAGAGAGGCTATGACGGACGTAAGGCTGATATATGGTCTTGTGGAGTTATTCTCTTCGTTCTTTTGGCGGGTTTTCTTCCTTTCCATGACCAAAATCTCATGGAATTGTATAGGAAGATTACCAAAGGAGATTTCAGGTGTCCTAATTGGTTTCATCCCGAGGCTAAAAAGCTTCTTTCGAGGATCCTTGAACCCAATCCAAGCTCAAGAATAAGCATAGCTAAGATAATGAGGAATTGTTGGTTTAGGAAGGGATATAAGCAGATTGAAACCCCACCATCACCGCAAGGTCAAGCCAGATGCACCTTGCTTAAGGATGTTCAAGCTGCCTTTGATTCAGCAACAGATAGCGAAAGCAATTCTCAGGATAATGTTATGGTGGCTCCAAGAAGTCCTCTAAGACCAACTTGTTACAATGCCTTTGACATCATATCTCTCTCAAAAGGATTTGATTTATCGGGCCTCTTTGAGAAAGATAAGAATCACAGACACGAATCAAGATTCACAACAACAAAATCGGCCTCAGTGATCGTCTCGAAATTCGAACAAATAGCTATGACAGAGAGTTTCAGTTTTAAGAAGAAAGATGGAACATTGATGTTAGAGGGCAGCAGGGAAGGAAGAAAAGGAATGCTTGCTATAGATGCCGAAATCTGTGAGGTTACGCCATCGTTTTATGTTGTGGAGATGAAGAAAAAATCAGGGGATTCATTTGAATACAAGGAATTTTGTGATCATGAATTAAAGCCTTCTCTCAAGGATATAGTTTGGGCATGGCAGGGAAGTGAGCAGCAGGAAATGTAGATGCTATTTCTTATAATCTAAAATGCACGTACGCGTGTGTTAAATCTGCTACTTGAATTTTTTATTATTTTAATTTATTTATTTATCTTTTTATTGTTGTACTTTGTTTGAGAAAACTTCACCGAACTCCGTGAAAAAAAAAAAAAATCTTGTGAGAGGAATAATAAATGGTCCTAGTTTCTTTTGTTTCGAAATTTTAATATCCATTGATGGTGCTGCTGTGTGTGGAAAGTCAAGGAGAACAAACCTGTATATATGTGCTCAGAATTTGTGAGCTCAATGTGAGCTATAGTCAGGTTGGTATTTCGGTTTTGTCTGACATGACTTACGAACACTAACTTTTGATTTTGCATCTAATTTAAAAGTTTTGTATTATCACATGTTAAATTTTCGATAGATCATCAAAATAAATGTATGTTCGAAATTGGAGAGTCACCATTCAGTTTTTTCAAAAATAAAAACTAAAAAAATATAATATTGATCCTAAAAATTCTAAGGAAAGAGGTTAATTACACAAATAGAAAAAACTACAATCATCCTCCTATTGTACCTGTTGTTCGCTCGACATTTGAAAAACTTTCAAAAAAATTATTAAATTCTGTTTTGTTTGTTTATTTATTAGAAATGCGGGTTAAATAATGTTTTGGAGTCGGTATGTAATATTAAAAGAAACTAAAAAAGGCACTCGTTCAAAGATTTTAAAGTAAAGAGTTGGTTAAAATTTCAAGTTTTATTTCTTAAGCTAATTAATTTTTTTTTTTTTTTTGTGGCATCATATTGAACCGATCGTCGGACTCGTCACTCGGGAGTTTCGTCAATTCAATATTGGATCCAGCTTTAAGTCTCGACATAAGCAGTATGTCGGAAAACATCTTAATTACTAAGATAATAGGTTTGAATTAAGTGATAGCATTAGTCATTATCGGATACAAGACTTTTAAAACTATCTTAGTATTTTTTATTTTTTTGCATTTTTAATTTCCTTTTTTTTATCATTTTCCTTTCTTTTTCTTCTCAAAGTCAATGGAGAATCATCATTAATCCCAAAAAAAATTAGAAAACTCGATTATTCATCCACCAATTAATTATCTAATTTAATTATTGATTATTTCAAGCCACGCCAATATTAAAGTAACATGATTTAATCACAAATTTCAGATTTAATTAATACTAAATGCTAAGCTAAACACGGAATTTAAATACCAAAACAAATTAAATGCTAAACATTAAACTAAATAAATTGAAATAGATGAGCAAAATGATTTCGATAAATTCCGAGAAATTTAAATCTAGACTAGAAGTAGAAATATGCAACATTAATGAAAATTCCAAATTTTATTTAACTAAGGAAATGACAAAAAATAAAGAATAAAAAATGAGGTTAATAGGCCTTTTAGGTCCAGTGGGCTTTCGGCCCATTAGGCCAAGCCCACCGAACGACCGACTTAGGCTTGCCTTCTTTTTCTCTCCCTCACGGGCTAGGCTAAGCCCATCCTTTTTTCTCCTTTTTTTCGGGTGGCCTAGACTTAGCCCAATCCTTTTCTTTTTCTTTCGGGTTGGGCTAAACCCGACCCCATCTTTTCTTTTCTTTTCTTTTTGTTGGATCGAGCCCAGCCCAAACCCCTTGTCCTTAAACCCAATCTCCTCCTATCTCTTCTTTTTTTTTTTTTCCTGCCTCATCCTAGGATAACTTATTCTTATTCTTCCTATCCCAACCATAATAAACTTGCCATCACCCCTAAAGCCAACTAGCCCTTACACTCCTCATCGGACTTTATGCACTACCTTTCATGCACCATGACCCGAAACCAAATTACTAAAGGCACCTTTTTTATAGTTTCAAATTAATCACAAAATGATAGTGTCTAAGTCACTATCATTTGTTCAAGACGTCCAGGAACAAAAATAGAGCATGATTTAAACAAGATAATAACAAAAATGAGTTAGAAAGTTACTTGTTAAGCTTGAGTGAGGGTGAGAGATTGAAAATGAAATAGAAGAACGAGATGACCGAGGAACTAACCGCCAAATACCTCCTCTCTTTTAAACCCAAAGCTAGCAAACTCTTGGTTTTAGTTTCTTTCTTTTTCTTGTCTTACTTTTCCTTTGGCCTCTACTTACTCCCTTCGTATTCCGCAACCCTTAATCCGGAGAAACTTTGAGATTAAAAAATCTTAGAGTTTCAAAATCACAAAAACTCTTCTCTCTTGCTTTTCTTCTATTTTTCTTCTTATATGTTTTTAAGAAAACTACTAGCCAAAATTCACCTCCCATAAAACCCTACACAAGTCCCTCTTTATACCCATTTTCTTACCATTAATCATAACCCTTCATTCCTCTCTAATCTTTCCGGCCCTTCGATCTATTACGGTATAGGTTCCAATTACTCTTTTCTCGTTGTTTTTCCTTCTTTAACATTTTCCTTTTTGTGTTCTTATTGCAGCATGTATTATGGCCGGTGCAAAGGCGTGGATAGGTGAGTTGGACAAAATTGAGCGAGAAACCAAGCTAGATCAAAACCAGCTTCGATTTTGAAATGAAACAGACAATGAATAGTAAGTTTACTACCTCAAATGTTTGTTTTGCCAAAACGATCCTCCAATTTTTAAATTTTTTTACAAATATGCCTTTCCATTCTTTTCAATCAAATCCTTAATTCCTTTCAATTTCTTTTGATTTTTTTATCAATTGAGCCTCTAATGGCTTTCAATTTTAACGACAATTTAATGCAATTATGCCACTAATTAATCATGTCATATAATTTAAGTATTTTTGTATTCTTTTTACCATTTTTTGAATTTTCATGTAAAATTTGTTCTTTTTTCATTTTCTCTTTTTTTATTTCTCTCCTTTTTTTTTTTTACAAAAATACAAGCTAAATTCTAAAATTAATCATAAAACTTATAGTGATAAAATTGGGCAAAATAAACATGAAAAATAAGATAAAACAATAAATAAAAGGAATAAAATAAACAAAAAATACTAGAAATTAACGAAAATAAATATAACTTAAATTTTGGGTTATGATAGTTGCCCTCTCTTTAGAATGCTTATAGTGTAAATGTCAACTAAAGTGTAAACTTTTGATTGGATTTGCTTAGTGAGCTTATAAAGAAGATGTAAATTGAGTGGCAAAAATAGTTTGATTGTCCCGGGTGATCTACCTTGAAAAAGCAAAATGTGATGGTTTTATTGTCAAGGGCAACCTATCCTAAAAGGTAAAATATGATGACCTTGTTGTCAAGGATGGTCTCGCTCTAAAAAGTAAAATGAGATGGCCTTATTGTCAAGTTGTCAAGGACGTGACTACTTTAAAAAGTAAAAATGCAATGGCATTATTATCAAGGGCGATCTTCTCGTGAAAGTAAAATGCAATTTCCTTGGTGTCAATGGTGGCCTTCCTTAAAAGTAAAATTCAATTACCTTGTTGTCAAGGACAACCCGCCCTAAAAGTAAAATGCAATGGCCATATTGTTAAAGACGGCTTACACTAAAAGGAAAATGTGATAACCTTGATGTTAAGAACGATATGTCCTAAAAAGTAAAATCTGATAACCTTGTTATCAAGGATGACTTGCCCTATAAAGTAAAATGTGATGGCCTTATTATTAAGGGAGGCTTATCTTAAAAAATAAAATACAATGGTCTTATTGTCAAAGATAACTTGCCCTAAAAAGTAAAATATGATGGTCAATTATGATGTGACCCCGTGTAAAATAATTGTCTGCATGTTAGGTGACCATACCTAAAATGATAGTTTATTGTGAAGCAATCATGCCCGAATGATTGTCTATTATAAGGTGAGCATGCTTGAAATGATGGTTTATTATAAGGCGAACCTAACTAAAATGATGGCTTATTGTAAGGTGACCTTAGCTAAAATGATGGTCTATTGTGAGGCGACCCTACCCGAAATAATAATCTATTGTTAGGCATTGTTAGGCGACCTTGCCTAAATGATGGCCTATTATGATGCGACCTTAACCGAAATGATGGTCTATTATAAGTCGATCCTACTCGAAATTGTGGTCTATTATAAATCGACCCTATCCGAAATGATGGTTTATTATTTTATATGTCGACCCTAATTAAAATGATGCTCTATTATGAGGTGATTAGGCCTAAAATGACGATCTATTACGAAGCGATCTTACCCGAGTGATGGTCTATTATGAGGTAAACTCGTCTAAAATGATGATCTATTATAAACCGACCCAACTCGAAATGATGGTCTATTGTGAGGCGATCGAGCTCGAAATAATGATCTATTACGAGGTGATTCTACTTGAATGATGACTTATTATGAGGTGACCGTACCTAAAATGATAGTCCATTGTAAGGCGACCTTACCTAGAATGATGATATATTATGAGGTGAACTTGTCTAGAATAATGATTTATTGTTAGGCGACCCTACCCGAATGATGGTCTATTGTGAGGTGATCTTGTCTAAAATGATGATCTATTATGAGGGGATCTTACCTAAAATGATGGTCTATTGTGAGGCAATTCTTCTTAAAATGATGATTCACGGAGACATGAGTCTCCTCTTGATCCGATGATTTTTGAGTTTCTTGGCTTAAATGATTACCTCGTCTATACATTTAAGGTGACATTCTTAAAATATATTAATAAAGCTGATTACAATCGTTAGTTTCTTACATATGAGAAACATAGGCTACCCCACCTTATGAGCACTCAACTCCTCCTTTCATGTTAGTATAGGTGCCTAAGATCTAACCATATTTGGATAGGTTTGAGTTATTGTATCATTGTATTGTTTATTTTATTAATAACAAAAAAATATATTTTTATTAATTCTTATCATTTATGTTTATTTATTGAATAGAATTAGATAGAAGTCTATATGATATGCATTTGCATTAGTGATTGATCTAAAGATGTGTGATAAATATTAATACACATAAATGATATCATTAAATATCCCAAGTCTTAGCATTGTCAAAAATAGACATTGACTATATGCGAGTTAAATTTGTG